AAGGGCCTTTAAATAGGTTCCAAGCCCTGGAAATTAGAGCTTCACTAAACAGCTTGGACTCGCCGAGTCCACGAATGGACTAGCCGAGTCCGGTCATGAAATAGAATGAACATCCACGTCCGTACTCGGCGAGTCTTGGCGCCAACTCGCCGAGTTCCTTCACAAACCCCAAAAATTAAATGAATAATAATATACATAGGAATCTAGATGTTACATGTAGGCGAAAACCTCGTCGAAATCCGAGTTATAACGAAGAAGTTATGACCAACCGAAGATCCGCGACAAAACCGGCACGGCGCCGAATGACGTAAAAAGTTAGTTTTTGATAAACTACTTCTTAGTCTTAGTAATCTAAATGAAAGTCGTAGTATTCGTTAAACCAAGAAATTTGATAAAAAGAACGCCAAAATCTAACTTCGTATGAGGAAGTTATGATTTTTCGAAGTTTCAACTTAGCAGTAGACAACTAAAACCTCGAATTTTAGATCGAGCGATATTTGACCGATACATCCTAAACGAGAATCGAAGGTCTCGTCATTTGTAGTACAAAGGTAAAAAGTCTGACGAAAACGGATGTCGGATGAAGAAGTTATGAATTTTTAACGAATTTCTTGACCCTGTCTGTTAAAAATAATAATATTAAAATTAAAGTCAAAATTAGCTGACAAAGTCTAAACGAACGTTGTAGAGAGAAATTGTAGCTACGCGCGCATGTAAAGAATGTCAAAAACTGAGCTAGTATGCGAAAGTTATGGATTTTAGAAGTTCGGGGCTCGAAATCCGTGAATTTCGCATGAACAGTACCAACCACCGGAGACCCTCGTCGCTGCCACGTCACTTCGCACGAAGCAGCAGCATCACCGGAGACGTGGCCGTTCTGAGAAGCATCGCGTGTCGCATGCTGAGTGGACCGAAGTACCGAGCCAATCCGGATCCGACGCGTGCATACCTGCGAGCCGAGCCACCGAGCTGCTTCGTCACCACTTCCGTCCGAGCCTCGCTGGAACCCTGCACAGCTGCCGCGTTGTCTTCGCTGAGTCACTCTTCTTGGCCGAACCCTCGCCCTATATATAGGAGGGTGCGAACCCTCTCGGCTAAAACTTGAAAATTTCTATTTTTCACCCCTAAATCCATATTTTCACTATTTTGACTTTTCCCGAAGCCCCGATATCAATTTTATCACCTGAAACACGTCCTGAGACCCCCGAGAAGCCCGGAAATTTTATCTTTTCGGTTTTGAAGCCCTACCTTCACAGAGCCCGGTTTTCAATTAAGCTCCCGGTTTTCAACATAGAAAGACATATTTAAAGCCGAAGTGCTGTCAAAATTACTATTTTAACCCCCGGTTAACTTAAGGTGAGTTCAATATATAGGAACAATTGTATGTTATGTGTTATATGTGCTATGTGCTTTTCAATGTTATTATTCTGAGTTATTTTCTCATGTTATTCGCTATGTTTATAGCAATTGTAATACCTTTGACCATGTGATCAGTGAAAGGACTTAGATTCACATTGGTACTGGTACGTAGCCTCTGGCCATGTAGAGCATGTCTCCGTAAGAGAATGACTTCTATTCTATGGCATTGGCAATGGTTAGACAGGACTATAAGCCTGAAATCTAATAAGATGTTAATCAGAAATTACATGTCTTCTATGCCATTTGGGCCAAAGCTTTATTGATGTATATCAAGAATTGAAAAGTATATCTTTGAATAAAGTCTTTGATTGATATGAACGCTTGTCACATGATCTCACATACATCTTGTTGTTCCTCTTTGCTTTTGCCACATTGAAGTATATATATGGCATAACGTTATATTGTATCTATTATTGAACTCACTAAGCGTCACCGCTTACCCTATCAATGTTTAACAATTGCAGGTGATAAGTAGCTAGTATGTTTACGTACTATTGAAAGATTTAGAATAGTTTGTAATAGTACTTTTGTACTACAGTTTATGTTTGTATAAATTACAATATCCTGGGTAGTTATCTAATATATATAATACTTTGTAATAGAAGGTTTGTATCCAATAGTTTGTAATTCCCTTTATCAATGTAAAATATTGCTTTTATGAATATGCAAATAGCATGTTTTGGAGTAATGATATTGTGAAGTATGAAAGTTTGGGTCTTTCAAAAATACAAAAGTTGGGGTCTTTCAAATTGTTTTTTAGAATTTGTTATTGTGATCCAGTTTGAGTTATTTGGTTCCAGTCTGTCGTTAAACTTAAACATGTGTTGTGAAAATTCTACCATGATATGATATTGTTTTAGAACGTGTTGTTACTTTTATGTGGTTTGTTTAACTTTGAACAGCCATAAAATCTTCATACAAAGTGTAGTCCTCTATTTTGCTACATTGTAAGCTCAATAAAAAGCTTAACTGATTAAGAATTGATTGAGTTATACAGTTCTAAATAGGGTTGTTAGGGATGTTAATTAATATTTCAGCTTTTTGTAAACTTTTTACCTAATTTTGAACAACCATAAAATCTTCACAGAAGCTCTGTATGAACTGATTTTTTTCCTTAATCGTAGTCATGTATCTTGGCTTCATTGTAGGCTAAATGAAAAGCTTAATTGATTAAGAACTTATTTAGTTATACAACTCTAAATAGGGGCTGTTAATCAATATTTAAGCTTTTTACCTAAGTTTGAACAACCATAAAATCTTTATAGGAGCTCCGTACGAACTAATTTTTTTTTCCTAAATTGTGGTCCTCTATCTTGGCTACACTTTAGGCTCCATAAACAGCTTAATTGATTAAGAATTGATTTAGTTATACAGCTCTAAATTGCGGCTATTAGGATTGTTGTATAATACTACAACATTTTTTATATATTTTTTTGTCAAACTTTGAATCATCATAAAAGTCTCATATGAGCTCAGAATCAAGCAATTTTTTTTCCAAATTATAATCCTCTGTCTTGTTTACGTTTTAGGATAAAAAAAATGCTTATTTGGTTAATTTTGGGCTTAGTTATGCAACCCTAAATATAGGTTGTTAGGATTTTTATATAATATTTTGTATTCATTATGAGGTGTGATAATATTATGTTTAATGGTTGAATTACTACTTCAACCATCTAAATTATGTAAAAAATTTGTAGGCATGACAGGGCGAAATAAATACACATGGACTACTAAAGAGGATGCAAAATTGATTGAAGCATTGTTGGATGTACATGTATATTACACATAGTTATGTTTTTTAGTTGTTAGGAATATTGAATTTTACTCTATGCATATCCTATACCGGACATGTTTTTTGAATATTATGATTTTCAGGTTTCTTTAAAATATATTTGTAAGTTATTCGTTTATATTAGAAATATGTTTTCCAATACAAGAAGAATATAAGGCAATATTAATTGACTAGAAAATAAATTATTTTGTAATTAAAATGAAAAATATAAAATACAAAAGATACATGTTTTGACTAATTAAGATTTACATCATAATGTATTTTTATGAAAAATGTTATTTGAAACAAGGTAAAAAAACTTATTTTCATTTTATTTCTTAATGCAATCAAACAAATGAAATGATTTTTAAAAATATTTTTCTAATGACTTTTCAATTCTACCAAATAAAGGAATTAATTCTTTTTTTTTCTAGTTTAATTCTTTTTCTCTACATTTCCGTTCTCTATTGCAATTCCATTTCTCTGTACCAAACACATTCTATATTTAATAACCCAAAGACCTTCGATCCAAGTTCTCCGAACCACATAAAACAGCCATATCAAATTTTGAAAAGTTTAACTAAAAGTGTACAATGGAGCAAACTATAAGGACTAAATCTGCAATCTACTCATGCTACATTGAATTAAATCAGACGCGCCAACTAAGAACATGATTATCACGCGCGCGTGGGCAGGCTATATGCCATTGTTGTTCCTGTTGAAGGCTGAAACTCTGCAACCAGCGTCAGCAAAGGCTCTGACAACGCCCTCTCTAATGGCAACATCCAATTGTTTTAAATCGCAATCTGTCCGTCCATCTTCTCATTTTTCTCACTTCGATGCTAATGGTGAAGTGTTCTCCCAAGAACCCTATGTGAAACATGTTGCTAAAAGTTCATTCAGGTTCTTTCTTCCTCTACTTCACACTCAATTACTCAAGTTCATCTGTTTTTTTTTTTCTAGTAATTTATATACTTTTATCACCATTTTTGCATAAGGTTGTTTCCACTAAGGATAAGTCATCGTGGATTGAGTTCCCTCTTGGGATTGACGCTGGTTCTTGACAACCATTGACCAGGTTTTCCATTCCATTCGATTCTACTTCTATAATTTGGTTTTTGAACTCTAGATCGGTATTTCAGTTGGAATTTTGGATTGATTGTGTGTTTTTGTAAGATTCTACGCTCTTAATGCTTACACTCCTCTCTCCAATTTTGGACGTTGTATTGAAATCTGGAACTGCAGCTTGGAATTTCATGCGGGGTTTTAATTAGATGGCTTATTTTTCTGTAAAGTTTATACTTTTTGTTGTTTGTCCTTGTGATTCTTTTTTCAATTTTGATTTTCAATATTGAAAATCGAGGCAGAATTTAAGTCTGTTTGCTTTCACTATATTGAGGTTCTGTTCAAATGTTTTTCTGGTTTCTGCTTTGAGCTTATGTTTGGCAAAAAAAAAAAACAGATTATGTTTATTTTTTATTTATTTCTTTTTTGTGTGTTATTTAGGTTAAAAATAATCAGTATATAAATACTGAATATTATAATAATAGAATTACTTTTGTATTGTTCAAGTAATCAAGTTGCAATAATATCTCTAAAAAAAAAAAATGTCCGTACACCCGTATGATTGTTAGCCAATTTGGATTTGTTAAATGCAATAAATAACAGTGTGTTTTGATTTATTTGTGGATTACAACATCCTACTTTCATTTGTATCTATAATATTGTAATATGAAGAAATGAAAGTAGGATATGCTATAATGAACAAATTAATGCAACCTCATTTGAAATCCAATTTTTTTTCTAATAGATGGATCTAGAACCAGGGAGGTGTAGAAGAACCGATGGGAAAAAATGGAGGTGCCGCCTAGCGGTGCTTCCTGATCAGAAATACTGTGAGCGCCACATACACAGAGGCTGCTTACGTTCAAGAAAGCCTGTGGAAGATCATATGTCAAAATCAACCAAGAAAATTACCGTTTCGCCCCTGAAATCCACCATCAATCTTGCAAAAAATGATGCTAGAAAGGATAAAAGTGTTTGTATCGAGGATCATAATTGTAGCTTCAAAATCAAGAAAAGGAGTAGGGAAGATGATGCTCGGGTGCCTCTTGAATTTAGCTTCTCCCCAAAAAGTGTTCTTCAAAATGATAATGGTATTTATGTGTTGAAACTGTTTACTCTACTACTCTCATGAATTGTGAAAATCATAAATGACTAAAACGCCCCTATGATGACAAAGGGGACAAATGTAGGGGGTAAACGTTTTAGGTCTTTCTTTTTGACTTGTTATAAATAAAATATAACGCTAGATTCAATCTTTATCAATAATATGTAACAATGACACCAATTAGCATCTTTTCTGTTAGAGGGCAGTTTGGGAATTTGTCACACTGCATCCTATTGATTTACTCAAATATTTTTAAACATAATTTATCCGGTCGCCACGTGGGTAATTTTAGACTGTTATCTTATTTAGATTGAACAAACTCTTTGGATACGAGTAAATGACCATTTTACCCTTTTCTCTATAACTGATACCGATTAAGAAGTGACTCTTAACTTCACAAACTATAACAAATCGAAATTATATATCACTGTTTTATTCGAGATAAATATTGATACAAATACAATTATATTTAATCACAAAGACACTTTCTTTTTTGTAGCTCAACATTCTGGCAACTCAAGAAACAATCATAATAACCATAATCTTGTTGTAGTACCTGAATCTGCAAGATGCAGAAGAACAGATGGGAAAAACTGGAGGTGCACCAAAATTACACTCCAGGGGCAAAAATACTGTGCACAACACATGCATCGTGGGGTTAAAAAGGTCCAAAATTCCAACACCAGTCTTTCGTTTTCTGTTGGGGCAAGTTATGTACAAAAGGGTAGTTCTGTAAATCAATCAAATGAGTCTAGCAATAGTGGTGATGATGATGGACGTGATCCAAATGGTGCAACTAACAGCAGTAGTAGTGATGCCACCACAATCTCTATGTAATGACTCTGTAACTCTGTGTTTGTAGTGTTTTAAGTTGTCTTTCTATCGAACCCTTTTGTGGGTTTTCAATAATTTGGTCAAATGTTGGACAAATTTTTGTATGTTTCTAGTTTGTTAACTGAATTGAACGTTTGACCTTTGTGTTTCAACTAGTGTTGTTTTGTATTAAGGTCATTTTGCTATTCTTTTTTTTCCTTTGTAGAAAATGGAATCATAATAGAAATCTAACTCGTTTCAGAATTTTGGTTAAGAATTTCATTTGTCCAACTTAATTATGTTATCAAATCGGCCCTTTTTGATTTATAGATACTCTTTTCTATCATTCACATATAACTTAGAACGCATACATTCTATACACATTTAAAAAAATAAAGTTAGGAAGAAAATAACTTTTGTTTTTAGGCCGGAGGGAATGGTGTCACCGAAACTACACTCCCTCAACCGCCACATAAACGTCACATCATTTTTTACCACACAAGTGTTGTTTCTTGGCACACCAGGGAGTGGTACCACACTTTTATTTTCTATTTTTTTTAGCTATTTTAATTAAAACTTCTTTTTTAATAAAAAACATAATTTTTCATTACTTGAAAATTAAAAAAAAAAAATATTACATTAAAAATTCAAAAAACATTACACCGCACTACAAAAAAAAAACACACACACACATGACATGAAAATAATCCTAAAAACTTAAAAAACACAAATAAAATATTAAAGCAAACTACATAAAGTCTTTATCTGAGAACTCGTCTTCGGAGTCATCCGATGGATCCAAATTAAGGTTAATGTTTTGAACCCCGTAAATGTGTTTCACAAAATCATTGCGAAAATTGTGAAATGTTTCAGTGCAACGTATTTCTGCTCTCCTATTCATATACTCTTCGCCACCAATTTCTATTGGTTGTGTCTCTGGTATGGTTTCTTCCTCGTCAAACGCACATATCACTCTTCCTTCATCTTCAATAATCATGTTATGCAATATGACGACATGTATACATGATTTCTTGAAGTTTTTCCTCGCCTAAATAAATTGTTGGTTTTTTCAGTATGAACCACCGTTTCTTCAGAGCTCCAAAAGCACGCTCAACATCCTTCTTATCTCTTTCTTGAGCTCTCTTGAATTTTTTTCGTCTAGAACCATGTGGACACGTAAACGACTTAACAAACACAACATATTCAAGATAGATTCCATCGACCAGATAATAACCATACTTATATGGCGTTCCACGCACTTCAAAAGAAGAATCTGGTACGGATCCATCGTATATGTTAAATATAGGTGAACGATTAAGAACGTTAATGTCGTCAATCGAACCAGGAGAACCAAAAAAAGCATGCCAAATCCACAAATCTTGTGATGCAACTGCTTCAAGTATGACCATTGGGTGACCATGATCACCTCGGGTAAATTGCCCATGATATGACGTAGGGCAATTTTCTCATGCCCAATGGAGACAATCTAAGCTTCCTATCATTCTAGGAAACCCATGCACACTAGCATGATGAGCTTGCAATTGCAAGATGTCATTACGTGTAGGCTTACGTAAATATTTTGGACCATAAAACTGAATCACAGTTTGGCAGAAAAAGTGGAGACTGTCTCGTGCGATCCTAGCAGAATAGCAGACATCCTAAAACTTTCGTTTAACCCATCAGGCGGAATGTCATATGCTAATTGACGAAGTGTGGCCGTGCATTTTTGTAAGGGAGTGAAACCGGGTGTACCTCTAGCATCGTAGCATTGTTGAAAAAAATTGCACTCCCTCGTTACATCTTCAACTATATGTTCGTATAAACCTTTGAACATTCTGAAGCGCCTACGAAATTAATACCCTTGATAAATGGCATTCTCTTGAAAATAGTCTTGCACCAAACATTGGTTGGCTTCTTCACGATTTCTGTAAATATATCTTCGTGTTCTCCGTTGAGAACTTGCAGCTGCGTTATTGCATAAAGCATCGTATGTTTGTTCCGTCATTCGAGCACACGCAACAACGACATCTAAAATAGTTTGAAATTCTTCAGAAGATGAAGAATATGACATTATTTGAAAGAGATTGATGATTTTCTTAAAAAAAGATTGAGAGAGAAGAGGTTTTATTATTGTTAAAAACAAATGAAGTGTATATGTATATATAAGAAAGAAAGGCAAAAAGAACAAAAAAAAAAGCGCAAAAGCATTCAACGGTCAAATATTACACCAACCAATCACGTCACGTGGTACTTTCCAGCCGCAGTGCGGCCAAAACCATACAAGATCGCAGTTTGGGGGCGGTATGCACGGTCCAGGTGGCACAAACCGCGGTCCGAGACCACGGCCACACCCTCTAGCCTTATTTATAGTTTCCCTGTAACTGGATCATGAACTAAAATATATTAAAAGTAGCCATATGCAAGTACATTGCCCGAATATTAAATGTGTAACTGGATCATGAACTAAAATATATTAAAAGTAGCCATATGTAACTGGATCATGAACTAAAATATATTAATTGTGGTAAAGATATTGTTGAAAATAACTAAATTGCAATATAGATTTTTCAGTAGGCTACTGCTTGGAGTTTTTTAATATTATTTTTGAAATAGATAAGGTCTAATCACACATAACATAACCATGTAAAAAGAACTTGTTCGTTTGGCCAACCTGCGATAACATGATAACCGAGTCGAGTCCATTTGCAAAGCCTAAGAGATTTAAGTTAATTTTAGTACTATAAGAGCTTCTTCAACCACAAATGGTAATTTGTATAGACCTTCATTTTTTGCCTTTATATTTGGTATTAAAAACGAACCAACACAGAAATGGTGTTATATTTGAAAGTTTGTTGGAATGAAAATGACATTTAAAATGGTATTTCAGAGGTCCATTGGAATTGGCATAAAGCTCAAACGGAGTTTGTAGAAATTGTGATATTTTGGAATTGATACATACTGGTTGATTGCATTTTAAAATTTTATATTTATAATATCTATGATTTTATTTAGGGATAATGTCATAAAAACCCTCAAGTTTGCAGGATTTTGTCGGATTTGCCCAAAGTTTGATTTTATGTCTCTTTTTGCCTCAAACTTGCATTAAATTGTTCGTTTCTACCATTTAACCGGTTTCCCTTCAATTAGTCGATAACCACCTACTTAGTTGGAACATACGTGGCATTTAATGTCGTTTGGGAGAAAACCCCAAATTCGTTATGGAGGTGAAACTGCCGCATCCTCCCTCTATATCACGATCACTTTTCACCTTTTTGTATGTCGTCGATTGAAATTTTGTATATAGAGAAAAGCTTTACAAAAGAGGGTTTTCTTGGAGAATATTAGAGCAAAATTGTTCTACGAAAGGTAAGGTTTTTACAGATCATGATCTTTTTGTGTTTACACTCAACATTTCTTGCAATGGGTTCTTAAACTTATTGTGTTTATGCAGGAGGGTGTAATGGCTTCATCGGACGAAGGGTACACCGACCCCTTTGCTGGAATTCGTGAGCCATATCTGGCTTGAATGAAATGGAGTGTGAGCTCCACGACATTTACATGGACCACGAACCAGAGGAAGAATTTGTGACCTCACTTGATAAATGTAAGGATATCTTCCTAAATGTTCTATTAAGCGATGGAAACCTATGAAATTCTAGTATGGCTGATGAAATCAAAGCACAATTGTACCATGCTACTGATTAGCAGAGTGATGAAGATGAAGAGGAGTTATTGAAAAACAAATATAGTATTCATGGCCCAACTATTAGGTGAGACAAGATGGTACCAAAGCTTGGTAACATCTTTGAATCCCCTGCACAGCTGAAGTTTTGTGTCATAAATTATGCAGTGTCACATGGTTATAGAATATACTTTGAAAATGTGATAGTAAAAGAAATATAGCTAGATGTAGCAAAAGAAAGGAGGAGAGTAAATGCCTTTTCAGACTTTATGCTACATGGATGTATAAAGAAATATCTTTTTGGATCAAAGCTATGAATGATAACTATAAATGTTCTAGATGGTTTAAGTTTGGATCCATTGTTTCCCATGAATGGATTGGAAGATCTTATGTGACTGAAATTGCAAAGAAGCCAAAGATGAAACTTAGGGAAGTGATTGATGGCATCAGACAAAGGTATAGGTGTGTGGTATATGACAAATTAAAAAGGAAAAGAATTGGGCCAAATATCTGATATATTGTAAACTCACTAAGAATTATGCAAGGATATAGGATTATGCCCTTGAATGGTTAAGATCAAACCCAGGGTCCACATGTCAAGTTGGTATAACAAACCAATCAAAATGGAAAGAATTATTTTCACAGGTTTAACATTTGTTTCAAAGCATTAAGTAAAGCTGGAAAAGAGGGCGAAGGAGAGTAATTGGGCTTGATGGGTGCTTTCTAAAGAGGCGGGTGAAGGGTGAAGTGTTAACAACCATTAGTAGAGATGCCAAAAAAAAAATTTGTCTCGGGTTATCAGGGGTTCGTGAGACTGATATACCATAAACATCTAAAAAATCTAAAAGTTATGATCGAAAACTTTCATTTTTGATTTAAGTAAAAACAATATTCCAAAACATTGTTCATGTAACACACTAAAAATTCCAACCAATTTAAACTTTTCAAAAACAACCCAATTTCATAAAGTTATTACAAAAAGGTTTTCAATACATTAATTATCAGAGTATTTCCCAGAAACCACATCATAAACACATAAAACCCGAGGAGTGGTACGATCATGCCTTTGCCTTTCCACGATCTCCTGAAGTACCTGAAACATTTAAACCATAACTGTAAGCCCGAAAGCTTAGTGAGATACCCCCAAAATACCAACGCCATACAAACATAACCATATCATATAACCGATACAGAACAGCCACGCACTTCGGGTGTACTGTGTGACTGGTCCGCCGCACCGGTCTACAGTCCACCTGGTCCACCTTTCGAGTCTAGCCATATACATTGAGTCTACAGTGTGATTGGTCCGCCCGCACCGGGCCTTCAATCCACCTGGTCCACTCTCTGAGTCTACAGTATGACTAGTCCGCCCGCACCGGGCCTTCAGTCGGCATGGTCCACTCTCCGAGCCTCGGCACATCTGGTCTGCCCTCGTGGGGCCTACAGCCTATCCGGACTGCTCGATGGGCCTTCGAGATAACCAGTCCGCCCTGAGTATGTTAGCCTACAGCACAAAGCAGGACCCGCCTCAACCCAACCCAATCCAACAACCATGTGTACATAAACATATAATCATA